CCTGGCTCCCGTTGGCCAGGGGCAGGCAGGTTGGGGGATTTGGACCTACCAATTCCACCAAAGGGCAGCGAGGTCAACATTACGTGCATCAGGGTGTCATTGCCGCAGAAGCCACCGCTGCTTGTCCGCTCCAGCACCTGGTTCACCACCTGGGAGGGAAGCAGAGAAACTGGATGTGGGTCTTGCACCCTGTTCCCGCACCTCCAGCTGCAATCCTTCCCCCACAACCAGGGCTGTCTTCTCTAAAGAAAATTCTTGGAGCATGAACATGGCTGAATACACCTGCCAAGGAGCATGGGACAAGTGTAGACCTGGCTTCACACAGCCTGTACACTATACCTTGTCATCGGAGGAGAAGGCATACACAACCAGTGGCCGCTCACGGCTATTGATAAAATCAATGGCTTCATCCATGTTGGCCACAGTGATGATGGACAAGATGGGGCCGAAGATCTCCTCCTGCATGACAGGATCAGAGGGCTGCAAGTCCACCAGCACCGTGGGAGCTGCAGAGAAAGAAACATGAAGACATCAGCTATACACAGAGGTTGGAGATGACGCCCCAGTCCTTTCCCCAAAACCCAAACTTCTCTAAGATAGGATGCCTTGCCAAGCTCCCCGATTCTCATGCAAACCTTCCCTAAATATCACTTCCATCTAGAACCTTCCCTCTAGTTATGAGACCCTCTCCAAAATCCAAGTCCACTCCATGCAAGACGAAGACTGATGTGAAGTTCAAACCCTCACCAATGTAGCGCTCCTTCTCGTCCGTCTGTCCTCCGATGACCACACGCCCGCTGCGCAGCAGCGCTTGCACCCGCTGGAAGTGCGTGTCCCCAACGATGCGGGCGAAGTCGGGGGACACCCGAGGGTTGAAGCCATAAAAATCAGTGATGGCCTTACGCAGAGCAGGCACCAGCTTCTCCTGCATCTCAGCACTGCACAGCACGTAGTCGGGTCCCGCGCAGGTCTGCCCCGCGTTGAAGAAGCGGCCCCAGGCCACCCGCCGGGCCACGTTCTGCACATCACAGGTGTCGCACACGTAGCAGGGGTTCTTGCCCCCCAGCTCCAGCATCACGGGCGTCAGGTGCTTGGCAGCGGCTGCCATCACGATCCTCCCCACGGAGGGGTTGCCTAAAGGCCAGGAAAAGATGCATCACGGTGAGCATCCCAACACATGGCATTAGCCTTATAAAGAGCCAGGGCCGGGGAAGACATGTCACGTCCCACTCCTGTCTTGCCCCCGCCACGGTGTGCAGTACGCGGCTGAGCCCTCACCTCCAGCACCCTCTCCGTGGCACCCCCCAGCTCAGCTATTACAAAACCCAGTTATGGCCACCAGATCCTCAGACACATCGGTGGCAGATCCTCCACCAGATGCTGACCTTGGATCCCCAGCACAGTGAGCCCTGCCCTTCACGTGGATGGGCACAAGAAACCAGGCAGGGCTCAGCTCTGGCCCTTGGGACGTACCAGTGTAGAAGATGTAGTCAAATTTGTTCTCCAGCAGTCTGGTGGTCTCCTGCACACCAGCGGTCACCAGGGCAACGCAGTCCTGCCACATAAGAGGAAGGGTCCAGCACTGTCCCCATCCCCACCAACAGCATCCTGGGCTGCTGGGCGTGTGGACGCCGGCTGAGCGTGAAGGAAGGAGGTACAACAGCGCCCGAGACTAGGGATGGCGTGGTGCTGGTGTGTGCCAGGCAGGCGCAGTGCCGGGAGGGCACAGGGCACAGCTCGGTGTGTGCAGGGGGTGGGAACACCCCAGCCATGAGACAGGGAGAGCTTCTTACCTTGTCCAGGTAGCTGGGCAGCGCTTCAGCCATGAGTCTCTCGGTGTTCTTAGTCACCTCCGAGGGTTTGAGGATGACACAGTTACCTGGGGGGAGATGGACGGGGTGTCAGAGCAGTGACATGGTGACAGCCAGCCATTCTGGCACCTCATCTGGGGGACAAGGTGCCCTCACCAGCACCCAGCACCAGCAGACAGGTTCGGCTCACCGGCAGCAACGGCTCCAATGAGGGGCCCCAGCAGTAAGGAGATGGGGCAGTTCCACGGTGCGATGATGAGCACCACCCCATACGGGTCCTTGCGGATGAAAGTCGAGTCCAGCTGCATCACCTGCAGGACACCCACCATGTCACGAGCGTTTTGTTTCAAGACGGGTCCCAACCTGCGCCACCATCTCCATGCCAGCATCCCACCCAGCTCTGCCCAGGAGGTGTGTCCTTCCCCCATCCTCTCCCTCCTTTTCCTGCTTACCAGATTCCTGTCCACGTGCTGGTCCTTCACCCAGTGGGACAGGTTGTTCAGGGCCTCGTGGAGCTCGTTCTTGCAGAGGAAGATCTCGGACAATTCGGCTTCAAAGGGCGGCTGGGGATGCAGAGCACCCTACACGTCACCTCTGCACGTGCTGCAGCACAGCAGCAGATCTTATCCCTACCCTGCATGTGTTTTTTTACCCAAGATTTGGGGACTCAAGCCTCTCATGTCCCATGGTGGGTGCGCACTTTGTTCTCACCCCCAAGCTGCATGGCACAGCCCGCCACAGGGAGGGCGTGAGCCCCACCCCATCGGCAGCATCAAGGTTTGGTGAGCTCCAAAATCCCGTTGTGATACCACTGGGCCTGTCCTGTTGGCAGTAACCTGCCTGTGACAGGGCTTCTCCTGCTGAGACCTCAGTCAAGGTTCAGGAAAATCAAGTATTTGGGAAGGAGAGGGGTCTGTGAAGGCAGTGGTAGCGTTTTGAGGAAGAAAGGGCTGGGTTGATGTCCTGGTTTCAGCCAGGATAGAGCTGGTTTTCTTCACAGAAGCTAGTGTGAGGCTGTGCTTTGGATTTGGGATGAGAAAATGTTGATAACGTGCTGATGTTTTGAGTTGTTGCGAAGCAGTCAGGGACAGTCCAGCTTCTCATGCTGGGCTGCCAGCGAGCAGGCTGGGGGTGCACGGGGAGCTGGGAGGGGACACAGCCGGGACAGCTGACCCAGGCTGGCCAAAGAGTTATTCCCTCCCATATGACGTCATGCCCAGTACATAAACTGGAGTTGGCCGGGGGGCTGGAATCACTGCTCAGGACAGGCTATCGATAGCCGGGTGGTGAGCAATCGCTGTATTGGGCATCACTCGTTCTTGTACATTCCTTTGTTGGTATTATTATTGTTGTTACCATTGTTATTTCCTTCTCTCTTGCTGTCCTATTAAACTGTTTTTGTCTCAACCCACGAGTGTTTTCCCAATTCTCTCCCCTGTCCCACTGGGGGAGGTGGGGAGTGAGCAAGCGGCTGCGTGGGGCTTAGTTGCCAGCTGGGGCTAAACCACAACACCTGGCTATTGAGTTCTGTTGGTCTGGAGACAAGAGCATCATCCCAAGTTCCTTTTTCTATCAATCACGTGTGTTTTCATACCCAGTGAAACAAGTTGATGGACTGCAGCAGGACGGGCTATTTTTTTCAGGGCCTGCCAGAGAGAAGCTCGGATAAGGGTCTTCAGGGATTTAACCTAATAAAGTAAAACTCAGAAGAGATCTGGGTACAAATCTTGCCGCCACCACCACCCTTCAGCTGGCTTTGACTTTCCCACTGTCGGTGTGTCACCGGTGTGGGAATAGCACCACCGGCGCTGAGGTCCAGCTCTGCCAGCAGCTCCTCACCTTCGATCAACAGTGGACCCCTCAATCTTTGTCCTACAGTTGGGTTTCTTCTTACCCGGGGCTATGGCAGGTGAGGTGGATGCTGCCTAGTGGGGAAGTGGCAGGTTCAAAGGGTAAAACCAGCCAGTCCTGGGGGATATCCACCACCCAGGTGTCAAGATTTGGGAGGAAGTATGGGGAAAAAAAAGAATATTCAGATTTTGGAGCCTGTTTGTGCAGGTTTTTTTGGCAGAGTGAGCTGAGAAAGCAGGGAGGAGATCCACCACTGAGCCAGGGAAGGAGGGAGAGCAGGAAGCAAAGGCTTCCAGAGGTTGTCCTCAGCAGGGCAGATGGACGGATGGTCATGCAGAGAGGGACCCCGAAGGGCAAAGGCATTTGGGACTAGTGCAGGCACGTGGCTCAGCATGACATCAGTAGGAGAAGCAAGATCAAGGAAGAAGCTGGGCTTCCCTTCCAGAGAGAGAGAAAGCAGACAGCATGAGCAGACCCACAGGCTGGATGTCTCTTCCGAGGAAAAGGGAACCTCAGGCAGAGGAGGAAGCACGACTGACACTCACGATAGCTGTCAGCCCGCTGCGGTGGGCATTCGGGCGAGCGGTGTCTGGGGTGGGCTGAAGTGGTTGGGCTTGTGTCAGGGGATGCAGCCCAAGCAGGAGCAGAGCCCCCCGCAGGCCTTTCCAAGACGGAGACCAAAAAAGACCGAGCCTGGTACCTCACTGTGGAGCAGAAGAAAGAAGCAGCAGAGTCCCAGCAACCAGGGAAGGTATTGCAGGAGGTGTCCAGCGTGTCCCCAAGAGGAAGCTAGAGGAACCACAGGCAGAAGGGTGCTCTGACTCCTGCGTGTGACAGCACAAATCGCTCTCTTGGTAAAGGAGCCGCAATAGACGTTGGGGTATCTCGTTTTTCCTTTCACGGAGGTTGTGGCCCCAGGGGCAGCTCGCATTGCCGGGTGGCCAGTGCCCCCCGCCAGCCACTGTGGAGCACGCACAGGGCTCTCACTGTGGACAGGAGGCAGCCCTGCTGGCTTCCAAAAATATTTGGAAGTATCATGTGTATTTGCCCTGTTTCTGAGCATCCTTCAGTGAGCCTGGGCTGGACAGACCTTTGATCTCACTCAATGCATCATCCTCGTGTCCGTGTATGAGCTGTGGGGGTTCACTAAGCCGTCGCTATTGCCTGGGGC